AATTTATTGGTAGAGTAAGTATTATCATATTGTATAATGTCACTATATTGTAAGTAAAGTTCATATTGTTCTGGCATTATCCAAAATAGTGATACTAAAGAGTTTGTTGCTGGATCTATATGCCAATTTATAGTCCATCGAATATCCTCAGCTTTACGCTCAATAAGGTAATTAATCAGTGTTGCAGTTTCACAATCAACATTTTGTTCAGCTTTAACTCTTTTAATAGCATTTGATAGGTCTTGGGGTAAAAAAAAAACATCTTCATACTTTGCTTCAAGTAATTAATATTGAGTACGCATACTAAGATTCCCGTTTGTTGTCCAGAATTCTATATCAGCCAACATTGGCTCTGTTAATGTTCGATGAGTAAGATCAAATTTTTTGGTAAGAGGATCTAAAAGATGGTCTCTATGTTCTAAATACAGGAAGGTAATACTAATAATACCAGTTTTCTTTGGGCATGTAGCATTTATAACCCATGGATATCCACTACGTTTGGAACGTGTATTGCACTGTTTTTCAACAATCATCATCTTCTTTCTTTGATTATTGCCCTGATATTCACACTTGTAACGACAATGCCTTCTTATTCCATTATCATATTCTGCCCATAAATAACTTTAGAAAAGTTTTTAGAATTACAATAGGCATCAATATACCTATCAAGTTCTGTTCATGATTTAAATAGCATACCAGATTCTGGTATTGAAATTGGTGAAAAAGATTCAGATATGTCAATATCACTATTTGATGATTGTTTATTATTAATACTAATACTATCAGATGTTTGTTTATTAATAAGTGGCACCGGTAAATTCAAATTTAAATTTTCATTAGTCAATTTTGATGCTTGGATGAAACTATTATAATAAGGAAGTAAGTAAATGACTAATATATTAAATACTAAGCCTATTTGATTACATGAAAATTAAAACTATAGTAACTTATTAATAATAAGTTACTATAGCTTTAACTTTTATATAATCGAATAAATCCATCACAATGCTTTACTAAAATAAATTACTTTGCTTCGTATGTATCTTCGTTTTGCATTATTAATACTTGGATAGAACAGCTAGAACTTATAGAACTAGAGTAAGTATTATACAATTGCTAGTTGGTTGTACTGTTTAATTAAATAAGTGAACTAATAACTATCTTGTTTTATATATTTTGTGAATGGAACGAATAGAATGGCTAGACAACTGGAATAAATAGAATGGCCAGACAACAGGAACAAATAGAACAACTAGAGTCAACAAAACTGTAGTAAGTAACCCAATAATATAATCATAGTACTGTAATATTTAATTGAAAAGAGCTAGCTAATAACCTACCTCGTTATACTGTATATATTATTGATGTGAAACAAATGGAATAGTCATAATAAATGTAACTGCTGAAATGAACAGAATGGTTAGAATAAATAGTATAGCTGAAGCCAACAGAACAGTGGTAAGTAAATCAATAATATATAACTGCTATACTATTTAACTTACTAGCAACCCACCTTGTTTATATATTAGACACCTTATGCACTGGAACAAAATGCAAGCATTTTAATTTCTTTGCACCAGAAAAAAAAACTTTAAGCGTTTACCACGCAGCCTTTACTAGGCTAGTATTGTCAAGAATAGGAATGCTCGTTCAGCACAAAGATGGTCAAACAGTTACTTTAGAGTAAGCGTATACTTTACATTAGCTTCGATTTGTAATAGTAATAACAATTGAATTTTTCTTTTATATGCGTATGCACTATTGTATCATATGTTACACTAAAATCACATTACTATTACGAATGATTGTATTATATGTTATACTAGAATCATATTACTATTACAAATGTTACACAGGCTACATCTATATTAATTCAAATTTATAAAATTTTTAAAAAAAAATTTTTTGAAATCCTACCTGGCTATTAAAACATATAAAAATTTTTTGAAAAAAATTTTCAAAATATGAACCGCCAGGTTATGAGAACCAAAAAATTCAGTTTGTATAGCCTTAATTAGTATTATATAAAAATTTTAAAATAATTTTAATACTATTGAAGATATTACTTTTTGAATATTGCCAATTCTGAACTTTTCTTATAAAAATTTCTTTAAAATTTTTAAATTTTTATATATAAACAACTACAAAAAAGCTTTTTTGCTTTTAATTAAAGTCAAAATTTTATATAAAATTTTAAAAAAATTTTATTAATTATAGTTATTTTTAAAAACCAATTCTATAATTTTGTTCTAAGATTATGAGGATATAAGCTTAAAATTTTTTTTAAAAAAATTTAAATTTTAGTATTTTTAGTATATAAGCAACTATATATTTTTTTTTTATCCCTTAAACTGTAAAGCAATTCCAGGCAAATTTGCCTAGAAAATTACTATAAATTTGCTTATGATATATTTTTTTTAAAATTTAAAATATTTAAATAAAATTTTTTTTGATAATATTTGAAAATAAGGATTATATTATAGTAG